AGGAGTGTTTAAAAATATGGGTGCAAAATGGAAAGGATTCCGGGTAAATGTGCCCCTTTATGCCCTCAGTTTTTTCTCGATGCAGGTGAAGATCAAAGATCCTTCAGTGCCTCCCTCCAGATGCTGCGTCCGCGCCCGGTCACCCGGTCACCCGAGGATCTCCGCAGCGACGGGGTCTGATTTGTAGGCCTGCCGTGGAGCCTTAGACTCTGCGTTCCTAACCAGTTCCTGGCTGACTTGGTGCTGGTGGTCCAAGGACCGCAATTTACTAGCCAGTCCCAAGTAGGAAATAAGCTATTAAATTAAGTGAATAGCAAGGCTCAGTAGAAATCGAGCGCATCGCTCCAGGAGGTAGGCCCGTGAAGGACAGCGGGGCGCAAGGGGCTCCCACTGAGACCAGGTGCGGGCCTCTGCGAGAAAGCGCTGGGCTGGGAAAGGGCTGGGGCGGCCGGGCCGGCCATTCCGCCGACGCGCCGCTCTGCTGGCAGCCCAGTGCTTCTGACTCACCGCAGGGGCTGAGCGAAAAGGGGCAGCCGCTGTCTTATCAGTTAGAAAGGCGAGGCAAATAGTTTACAGTTACAGAAAAACCCAGCCGCTGCTGTTTTAGGTATTTATCTTGTTTACTGTCCTGTAAAATGAAATAAAAAAAATAGTAGCATTCAATCAGGTAGGGGGTTATGATTAAATAAACAAAAAGCACATGAGCTACAATTCTGAAAACGGCTACACTGACCACCCTGGGAATAAAGGAGAAGCAATGAAGTTGAATAGGTGTTGGGGGAGGTTCCTCATCGCCGAAGTGAGAACACAACTTTCCTGTTGTCTGGACAAAGGCCAGACGCCGTCAGCTCCGCGGGGAGGCCTGCTGAGCGCCAGGCCGACGCGCACCTGCTGCCGCAGGCTCGCCGTTCGGGAAAGGGCCAAGTGCAGGGCATTTCTGCAAAAAGACAGGGCTGGCCAGGCGAGAAGCCGATTTCAGCCACAGGATTATAGTCATTAAAATAAAACTGTTAAGCACGCGGTTTTTTCACTTTCATTTTTTCTAAACCGTTGAACTAGTTAGACTGGAAAACCACGCCTGATCCACCTCTGTGGCCAGACTGGGAATGATTTGATACTTTCCGCAGCCAGGAAGGGGAGCCATGTTGACCCACAAATCCCTCCCCCTCCATCCAGCTTCCGTAGCGACGATAGTTCTGCTTTCTCACTGAGCTTTCACTCCCTGCCCTTTATTTTCACTGCGCTGCGTCTACAGTGAGAAACAGTGCCCGCGGATTCGTCTGGATGACAGATGATCACCTACTTGTTTCCAGTTCTTTCTCCGCCCTCCCCGGTGCCGCATCTACATTCAAACGGACAGATGTGCTGGTGCCTTGCAACCCCGGTTCCCGCGCACAGACCCGGTGACCTTAGCACAGTGCAGGGGCGGCATTTTTTTCTAATCCTTTTTAGGCGAGAAAAAGAATTGGGTCATTGTTTAAAAGTGCAACTACAATTTAACGAATGAAAAGGCACATTTGGGATTCTTCCCTTCTGATTGGGCAGAGCCTATTCTTATGACGTCGCTCTGAATACCAACCAATCAGACACAGGGCTTTAGTTTAGCACCTTATTTGCATACCAGGTTCTATATAAAAAGGCCCCGTCGCGATGTGCTGTACTTTTGCACTTCCAGACTCGCTTTACTTGCGATCATGCCTGAACCAGCCAAGTCCGCGCCCGCCCCGAAGAAGGGCTCCAAGAAGGCGGTGACCAAGGCGCAGAAGAAGGACGGCAAGAAGCGCAAGCGCAGCCGCAAGGAGAGCTACTCGGTGTACGTGTACAAGGTGCTGAAGCAGGTGCACCCGGACACGGGCATCTCGTCCAAGGCCATGGGCATCATGAACTCGTTCGTCAACGACATCTTCGAGCGCATCGCGGGCGAGGCGTCGCGCCTGGCGCACTACAACAAGCGCTCGACCATCACGTCGCGGGAGATCCAGACGGCCGTGCGCCTGCTGCTGCCCGGCGAGCTGGCCAAGCACGCCGTGTCCGAGGGCACCAAGGCCGTCACCAAGTACACCAGCTCCAAGTAGACTCGCAAGAAGCCGCTTGGACTCCTGAACCCCAAAGGCTCTTTTCAGAGCCACCTACGCTTTTATGTAAAGAGCTGGGCACGGGCCTGACTAAAGTAGAAAATCCTGATGTGAATGTGGGACGCCCTGTAGGTGTCGCTGCAGCTCTGCACCCGCCTTTACTTGTGTAGTCTGAGTACCTCGCCAGCCCCCGCCCTTTGCCTGAGGCCTTTAGAGTCCTTGCCAAGCGCTTTGTCTCGGGTGAAGCCAGTTCGGTGGCTTCAGCTCTAGGGAGGGAACAAAGGTGACTGCAACTTTCTTTCCCGATCTTTAACGAGATGCTTAAAATTCGGTGTTTTATTTTCATGACAAAGCGCAAAATCCACACTCGCTGAAGCAGGCTACAAAAAGAACTGTCAGTGTTCAGTGTCCACTAGGTTGCATGGCTCTGCAGCCTCCAATCTGTCCAGTGTCCCGGTCACGCTTTCCCTCCTGAGCCCGTTCCCACCGTCCTGTCTCCAGGCCTCCCAGCTCAGCTGCAGGCCCTTAGGCCTGACCGGACCGAGGGGGCCCGGGGTCGGTCAGGACGTGCAGGGGAAGAGGGATGCGGGAGCGGGAGATGGCCATTTGACGTCTGCGTGCCGGGCACGGAGGTCTACAAGCCTACGGTTTGTGATCCCCTAATGCCAAGCAGACTAAATCCAAAGAAAGAAATCGCATGATTTCCCTCCTCTGGAAGCTGAGGCGGAGGCTTCCCTCCCGGAGAGCCTGCACCGCCCCGCCCCCCCCCGCCCCCCCCCCCCCCCCGCCGACTGTGGTAACACTTAGGCAGGCAGAAGCCCTCACCCCAGACAAGCGTCCCAGCCGGTCTATCTGGCGACCTTAGTATCTCAAGGTAAAATAAGCACAAAGATGCAAATATTTTTTTCTAGGTTATCAAACCATTACTGCCTTTCAACTTTTCTGGTCACCTTGGATTTACTTGAGCTTAATACAGAAAGTCCTCTGTCCTGGAGAGTCTAGTTTCTGCTCCAGCCCCTGTGGCTGTTTAAAAAGCGCTCCTGGTCCCGGGTTACTCCTGAGCACAGCCTTCCGGTGGGTCCCGCCCGCACGCTGTGCAGAGGCAGAAACTGCAGGAAGGTCTCAGGCCCAAGTCGGACCCACGTCTGAACCGACATCCAACCCAGCCTCGGAAGATTTTTTTTCTCCTTTTTGCTTTTTGTTTCTCTGGCATCGTTGTTCAGCTTTTGTTTTTGCCCCCCCACCCTCCCGCTTACTGTTGTTGGAGAAAATGTGATCCTCTGCAGCTTTCAGTCCCTTGCAGTTTTGTTCTGCCTGATGTGCCCCTGGTCCCACATCCGACCCCTTCTCCCTGCAGTGTATTCACCACCTCCCATTGCTGGGTGCTCATCACGTGCCTGGCAAGCCGGCTTCCACCCTCCTGGCCTTGCAGCCCCGAGGGCTCCCTGTGCGCCCGGCCCCACGCAGGGCGTTAGACTGGTGCGGCTGCCTTAGGCCGCGGTCCCAGAGGCCACCGTGGAGTTCTGCCTTCCCGGGAGCACACGGCGGGGAGGACGACAAGGGGCGACTGAAACGGGCCTGTATTGGAGAGAAAGAGGCCGAATGACCATTGGGTAGACGCCTGCAACTGCTGGATGCAAGACCTTCTGGGCAGACAGCTTCCTCTAAGTTCAGTCCTATTTAAGCGCCAAGCACTGAATTATGAACTGGGGGCTGTAGCAGTGGTCCCCGAACCAGACTGTGCATCACAGTCACCTGTGCGGGGCGGGGGCAGGGTGTTGCTGAAAGTCCAGAAGGCTGGTCCGGCACCCACTTTGTTCCTTGGCTCTGGGGGAGATCTAGGAACTGGGCTTTCGAGCTCTCACAACGCACACGCGCTGCCCATCTGGTACTAGGTTTTGAGAACATCTAGATAGAGGGCAAAGAGCAAGCGAATCGAAACCGCTGATGGTAAACAAGGCCCATGAAACGTCTATGTCCATATGCGTAGTTTTCAACGTATTCTCAAAGTTTTGCTAAGAACTACTCTCCTAAAGAGACACATTAATTTTTTTTTTTTTTTTAAGGGCTGTATCCAAGGTCCCTTAAGGCAACCCATACTAGCAATAGGCTGCGTACACTACCAAGGATGCTACTGTCTGCAGACATTGCACACCAGGCCCTCATGGGTAAAAGAGCTTGGTCGGCTTAATTGGCTGCAGTAAGAGACACATTACTTTAAAATATCCACATTGCAAGTGCCTCAGGCACACATGCAGTGCCCACGTCCCCCTCTGCCATGCAATGAGGCCCCGTGTTCTGTCCAGCAGGGGACACAGTGGAAGCACCAGAGAAAAAGCTCACTTGCTATCAGACTCTCTTAAAAGGAATTTCAGGTCAGCACAATCCATACTGCTCAATAGAGAAAACCTGAGTTCAGGCAAGCTAAATTACTGTCAGAGAGACATTAACACAGCTGTTATTTTTGTCCATTGAAACAGATGCTTGATTCGTCCAGCTCTGAAACTGATGTGCTCCTCTCGGTCGCTCCTAACTCCCGTCCCTGACAAAATCATTGCTCCAAGTCCTGGGGCCGGCTGCTGTCTGCCCAAACACCTGCCCCTTCCTTACCCTGGGCCTGGGACGGACTCCCCTCGCTTACCTAGTACGTTATCTACATGAACCACACCGTTGTTGCCGACGAAGCCAGGAAACATTCCTTGAAAAAGGGATGAACCTCCATCTCAATGTTCCTCTCACTTATGTTAATGCGTGCAAACTGCAAATTGACTTAAACCTACAGATTAAGACAATCGCGGAGTAAAAAGTACACCAAGATTATAAGAGTTTATAAACCACCAGGAAAAGTAACAATCCCCACCACAGGAAAACTGCTGTGAAGTGACAACTCTTTTTTGTGAATAAGTAGGTGGCCCTAAAAAGGGCCTTTGGTTTTTAGTGTATTTGCGAGTTGCTGGGCGCCTCAGCCTCCGAAGCCGTAGAGGGTGCGGCCCTGGCGCTTGAGCGCGTAGACCACGTCCATGGCCGTGACCGTCTTGCGCTTGGCGTGCTCCGTGTAGGTGACGGCGTCCCGGATCACGTTCTCCAGGAAGACCTTGAGCACCCCGCGCGTCTCCTCGTAGATGAGCCCGGAAATGCGCTTCACGCCGCCGCGCCGCGCCAGGCGCCGGATGGCGGGCTTGGTGATGCCCTGGATGTTGTCGCGGAGCACCTTGCGGTGGCGCTTGGCGCCGCCTTTACCTAAACCCTTTCCACCTTTGCCCCGACCAGACATGACGAAAACAGCTGCTGAACTCACAACGCTGTGCTGCTGCCTACAAAGCTCAGCATTTTTATAGGAACCTGTCGGACCTGATTGGAAACCGCAAGAACATGGGCGGTGACCTACTCAGTTCCAGCCCTTCGTTCATTTGTCCTTGCTCGGCGCTACGGGGACCCGGAAGCTACACTGAATCCTGGAGGGGTAATTGAGCAAACGCTCTTATATGTGGATGTGTGTGTTTCCACACAATACTCGGAGCTATTAAGTGGGACAATTTCCTACTCTTTCCACAAAGAAGGTTAACACTTGTCCTTCAGATTTTCCAAAATATGAAATAATAACTTAATGCATGTTGTTCCTTAAAAGGCACTTATAAGAGCTAACTTATGCAAATCGTTTAACACCGGTAAATAGCCAGCCAGACAACATTTAGTGCACCTCTCTGCGATGTGCACCCCTCTAAAACGGTCAGCCTGACAGAGGACCCGAATTTTCTAAACCTTCTGTGGAACTGTGGAAGAAAGGAATTTTCCTCCAACCTCTCCTAGCTGGTCTAATACACTGAAAGGGACAAGCAGTAGAAAATCAAATGTTAATACAGGCGTAGGGGGTATTCGTGTAAGAATGAAAATTCCAAAGACAAGCAAGATGAGATGTATATATGTCCTTTTGGATAAAGGAGAAAGGGGGAGGGGGTCTGGGATCTCAAAGGGAAAATAGGCAATTTACAGGGAAACTTGGAAAAAAAGTCCTGCTAGACAACTCAGCACCCAGGGTGCAGAGGAAAATCTGGCGAACAGATTTTGGCGTGGATCCTTTCTGTCTCCCATACTTAAGTCATATGTGCTAAAGTGAATGTGCTAAGACAGTCACGCTCATGTTGCCTTCCTGAAGCAGGTTTTTTACATCTGAATCTCATTAAAAGAAAAGAGAAATTCTCCCTCACTTTATTGGGTTTTAAGTGACTTCAGCTGCAAATTATCTGCGTGCCAGGGTGGCACATTTCAGGGAGTGTCATTCCTGACCCCCACACTTCTTTCAAGAATGACTCAAAATAAAAAAATACTTAAATATTTAATTCACCGTTCATTCTCTTGTGGAGTTCGAGCTGACGTTCCTAGCCTTGGCTTTTCCTCCGTGGCCTGTGTTAGGCAGGGGAGACAGCAAACCAAGGCGGGGTGGGGGCAGAGACATGTCTCATTCATTTACTCAGCAGCCCGGGGCCTGGTCAGAAGGTGCACAGACGTTCCGAAACTCCCAAGAAACATTGTGAAGGTGCAGGAGGAAGAGAGCCCTTGAAATTCGGTCTGCATGTTTTCCAGTCTTTGGGAAAGAAAGCCTTTGAAACTGTGTGTGAATCGCCAGGTCTAGAGAGGGGAGGAGGAGGGGAACCAGACGCTGGCTGCAGGCGCAGGGCCCCCAGCATTTCAGACGGGCCGAGTGCCCCGTGCAGCGCAAGTGAATTTCAGAATCACACTTGCTGTCTCACTTCCGCGATATGCGTTCCCTCTCATCTGCATCCCTCACTCAGGAGCAAAGCAGAAACTGAGGATGCAGAGCACCCTAACTCAGGCCGCCCAGGTAAACCTGTGAGGAGGCCCAAGCTCATCAAAGCCGCTCCGTGACGTTACAGAAGATGGAAACGAATTCCAGAGTGGAATTCGTAAGCTGGGATAGACAGACAGAGTCCGGAACATCTGGGAACTTGTGTGTAGAGAACGAAAGCTTCATCTTTCTTCTTACCATCCCCCAACTGAACGTTCACATTTCCTGTTTATGAAAACTGGCTGCAAACAGCCTGATTGGCTGGACCTGCGCTGCATTCATCTCGCAACCCACTTGCAGCTGTTAATGTCTCAAAATATCTTTTAAATGTATTTCTCCACCTAAACTGTGGTAATTTTTGCTCATGTGGGCAATCTTGTGGTTTAATGTATTGAAATGAAGCACACACGTTAATACTTCACCAATATGAGTTTTGGATGTTAATAGCTATACTTTAAAATAATGGTTTTTCTTTGTATAATCCTAGGTATATTTCCTTAAACGTTTACCAGTGTTATTCTGGGAATTGGCCCAAACGCTTTCTCGGTTGTAGGGAAAAGTCAATGACACAAAAGTGGCTGAGGATCCCTCTTCCGTCGGGCGCCGGAAGCCTTGAGAGGCTCCGGATTTCGGGGAGAAGCAGACAGAAGCATCGGCGAAGTCCAGCACGTTGGGATGAAACGCATGTTAGTGTCAACACTCTGTGGAGGTGTCAGAAACACGGCGACGATTTTCTCCACTTGTGAACAGGAAGGAGGTCATTTCCGCTCTCTCTTTTCTTCGCGAGTTTTCTTGGAGAAAGAATGAGTCTGAGTCTTCACTCTTCCCTTAGAAATAGAGAAGTTTTCCACAGATCCAGCCCCGCCTTCAGTTTTCACAATGCGACGTCTCTCCTGGGCGGTGGGACGCATAACCTGCAGGTAAGTGGACCGCTGGAGTTAGTGGAGTGGCCTCTCATAAGAAGCACAGATGGGAGACGGTCACAAGGCGTAGCCCGTCTCTAAAAGCGATCGAGTTTTTGTTTCCTCTGCATTCTAAGACATGCAAAATTTTTTCCTAACTGTATGCACTTTCGTGCCAACTTACAAAAAATAATGTTTTTTTCTAAACCATATTGATACAATAAGGTATTCTGTAGACAGAATTGTTTTCTTTCCCCAACATCTGAAAAAATCAATGAGGCTACGAACTCCTTTACCATGTCGAATGGGGACATGGCTGTGAAACTCGAGTTCCTCCGCCTACAGAAGTGCAAGGACTGACGCTCTCAGGAGAGGCATTTAGGGCCACTCCAAGGTCAATGGCAGGAATTCACAACAGGCGATTTCCTTCATAATGGTTCTGCGCCTTCAAAGGTGTCTAAGACCCCCACCAGTCAGGTGGGGCTCCCATTCAATTCAAAATGATAACAAGTGTTCAGCAGGACTGTGTCGGCAGCACTGTGCAGAGCCCAGTAGCACAGGAAACAAGCCTTTGGGCAGTAGCGACAGAATAAAACCCTGGAATGGGATTCGGGATCCTCTTGCATTCTGGCTCCGCAGAGGCTCCCTGCACGCATTTGCGCACGTTCCTGTATAAAAAGGACTGTAGGCCATATCGGCGAGGTCAAACATAGTCTTGGTTGTGTCGTCAACGAGGAAGATTTCGAAGTGGACAAGTATGCAGATAACATGAAGCACGTTATAATAGCTGTAAAGAAATCAATAGAGCAGCTCAAAAGAGGGAGCAATTTTATCCAGTTTAATGGATTGGGAATGACATAAACATTTCAAAGTATGTCATTAGACTAGTTTCATATATACCTTGACTTCAAAATAGGGTAAGGGGTCGGGAACAAAGACAAAAACAAAAAAATCCTGAAACATTTATTCTAAAAGGTTAGATGATTTGACCAATATCATGTAGCTTTTAAACTGCAAAACCAGACTAAAATACATATCGTGTGTTTGAAAATCCCATGCTTGTTCTATTACAGCATGCTACCAAAATGATGATTTAAGGCCGCATAAAAGAAATCGAAACCCATCCTGAAATGCTTCTTCTTAAATCAGAAGGCTAAAGGAAGATGGGACAACAAATGTAAAGCTCACTTGAGGACTATTCATTGACAGCAATACAGAGGATGAAATTACAGATTATGAAAGAAGCCCATGAAGTGAGAATACCCAGTCCTGACAAAATATACAGGAGCTATGCCCTGGCTGGTGTGGCTCAGTGGATGGAGTGCCGGCCTGTGAACAAAAGGGTCACTGGTTTGATTCCCAGTCAGGGCACACGCCTGGGTGGCTGGCCAGGTCCCCAGGAGGGGGTGTGCGAGAGGGAGCCACACATTGATTCCCTCTCTTTCTCCTTCCCTTCCTTTCTCTCTAAAAATAAATAAAAATCTTTTTTTAAAAAAAAGATATACAGGAGCTACAATTACAACAATGATCAACAAAATAGATGAGGAGTGATGATTTTAGGAAGAGTGCACTGAATTTGGTGACAGCCTGGATTTAATAACAAAGGAAATGGAAGAATTGAAATGTTTTTGGGTGAGTTAATAAAAGCATGGTGTTGTTGCCAAAAGATCGTATAAAGACATTGACTGGAAGTTTCCCTTTCGATGGTAACTACTTAGGTGAGGGAGGTCACGTTGAGAGTCAGGTAGCCGTAGTGGCATTTCCCAGCAAGCACTCAGAAATGCAAGTTTGCCACATACGCAGAAGGACAGATCTCACAAGAGAGACTCGGGAATTAGCTACATAAATGTAGCTCATGAACTGACAAAGGTGAATGGCAGCTTTCCCACGTTTTGGTGGCTGAGAGACGGCTGTTCCTTGGTGGTGCTGAAGAAAACCAGATACAATGGGTCAAACCATTTTTAAAATGCGAGAATATACGAGCTGCAGAGCAAGTGAATACACGCTACGCTTAAAATGATTTGTATTGAGTTGATGATTCCTCCTCCTCTCTCATGCCTCTGAGCCACGGTTTTAATTTCTATTAACTCATTTTTTTTCATGTCCGATCTGGATGTTCTGCACAAGTGAAATAGTCACTTGTTGACTCTGATTGTACCGAGGACAAAGCCTGACGGACTTTGCTCTGCTGTCAGGTCCCAGAACTTTCTGTCACAGCCCTAGTGAAACACAGACCTGCGTGTGCTTCGTGACACATGTCATATGCCGAAGACAAACATATAGTTGAGAAGCGAAGAAAAAAAAGTCAAATCACTCTGTTACCAAAATCAAGGAGTTCGCTGCCTGGTGTGCTCTGTTCAACAATGAGACACAGTTGTTGGCGGGTAGTTTCATTTACGCACAGCAAGAAAAAGAGACAGAGGTTCATGTCCAAAGCTCTGTCCCCTTGAAAGGAGGCCTAGCCATGGCTTATGGACACCATTTAGTTCATTGCATCCTGATTTCTATTTTTGCCATTCATTGAACAGATATGATTCTGGGCAAGCTCATTTGATGACAGCTGCATCTGCAAAGCACCGCACATTTCAGCATGTGGCAAAAATAGCTTTTAGTAAGAATTGCCCAGACCTTGATACCCTTGTTCTGTCCAACGACTATGCGATCAATCTATTGTCTACTAACCATAAACCATAAGCTCTAATGCGTTTTCTGTGAGGCGATTTCCTCCCTTAAAGGACTGTAGTAGTAAATATACAACATGCTTGTTCTTACATTTCAGCCTTAAAGAAATTCTATATAAGTGTGTGTGTGCTGTGTGTGTATTCCTTAATAGCGTTATTCCTTGACTGCTTCGCCAGCATTTATGTTCCCCAAGCATGACAAACTTCTACACCCAGAAGATGGTGAACACTTGAATAGCTGATCTCCCCTAAGAAAACAACAGTATTTTAACCCATAAAAGGATCCAGCTCCCTGTTAGGCCTCGGCCTGAGTCTGCTCTGCCTTCAGCCACCGCAGCCGCCCCAGCTACCGTGCAACACAATCTCTGAATAAACCTTCCGTCTCCCGTTCTCCTAAATGAATGCTCACTGCTTGCGGCCAAAAGTTACCTAGCGCTCCCAAAAGTCAGAAAGAGCCATGATAAAGCTTTTTCAGACAAAATAAGGTCCTTTCTTATTAGAAATTGTGGGTATTGCAAGCATTCTTTGGCATGGTTCTTGTAGAGAAATCCTTTAAGGGTCTGTGTTATTTCTCTTTATATGAAAGAGGTTTTCTGGGTAAGTCTCAATGAGAATAAAGCACTTGTTGCAGTGTATGGGGAGCCAAGAAAGTATAGAACATTATGAGAGAGGAACATATCGAAGACACAAGGGGGGAAATTTATAATTTAAACAAAAATCAACAAGTTGACTCTCCGACCGGTGAATCTCTCACAGTGTCGGGGGCTTTTCACAACGGCTGAAACCGAAGTGATACAAACCAGGAGGAAAACTTATGACGGCCTCAAAGCTTGAGCTGCCCCTGTGCATTGTTGAGTAGACCTGGCGTGATTCCTTGACAAGAAATTTTAATTTTTCGGCTTTCCTGAATTGGAACAAACACAACCCGGGCCTCAGCGGAGCCCGGGAGCCGCCAGGACGGAAGGCTGAGCTGCGAGCCAATCAGCGCGCAGCGCCGCGGTGAGTTTATATAGACGCACGCCCCGGCCTGGCCACTTAACTCACAGACCTTATTTTTTTACTACCAGGTATTCGAACCTAGAATCATGTCCGAAACGGCCCCAGCCGCGCCTCCTGCGCCCGCTCCGGAGAAGACACCCGTGAAGAAGAAGGCCAGCAAGTCTGCCGGTGGCGCCAAGCGCCAGGCGTCCGGGCCGCCGGTGTCCGAGCTCATCACCAAGGCCGTGGCCGCCTCCAAGGAGCGCAGCGGCGTGTCGCTGGCCGCGCTCAAGAAGGCGCTGGCGGCCGCGGGCTACGACGTGGACAAGAACAACAGCCGCATCAAGCTGGGCCTCAAGAGCCTGGTGAGCAAGGGCACCCTGGTGCAGACCAAGGGCACCGGCGCCTCGGGCTCGTTCAAGCTCAACAAGAAGGCGGCGTCCGGCGAGGCCAAGCCCAAGGCCAAGAAGGCGGGCGCGGCTAAGCCCAAGAAGGCTGCCGGGGCCGCTAAGAAGGCGGCGGGGTCAGCCACCCCCAAGAAGAGCGCCAGGAAGACCCCGAAGAAGGCGAAGAAGCCGGCGGCGGCCGCAGGGGCAAAGAAGGTGACCAAGAGTCCGAAAAAGGTGAAAGCAGCGAAGCCCAAGAAGGCGGCTAAAAGTCCAGCCAAGGCCAAAGCGCCGAAGCCCAAGGCAGCCAAGCCGAAGTCAACCAAACCCAAGAAGCCTGCTCCACAAAAGAAGTAAGGATTCAGATCATTTAAAATACAAAGGCTCTTTTCAGAGCCACCCAAATAACCTGATAAAGAGCTTATGACCTAACTGGCTGCGGGGTAGGGGTGATGAGGAGAGTGATTACATATTCTGTCTTGCTTAAGAGATTTCAGGGTAACAACAGCATGTACACAGATACGTTTATCAGAAAACGTTGTGCTGTAAAGGGCCTTCGTGCCCAAGGTTAGCACTTGCTGTTCCAGCTGGTAACATTTCCCTGCATACAAGCGTTTTTATAAGCATCCTGCTATAAGCGCTTTTTATTGCTTGGTAGGATTTACTGGTTCATGTGCGAATTTGCAAAACCATTTAATAAAATACAAACTGTCTTCCATTTCAATAAAACTGTTCAGAGCCATAACAAATTTGAGATTTACAGTATAAGGTCGTTTTTATTCCCAGCCAGCCTCAGTGGTCTGTTTTGTGTATCCTACATCGCACCTTTGTTTTAGGTTTATTAGTGCTGCCTATGTAACCAGAGAGCCAAACACTTTCAATATTCAACTTGAAATAATATGCTAATGCTATTAACACTTGCAAGTTTGCTTATGGGTAAATTCAGTGCACTCAGCTGCTGGGGTGTTTTGAAACAGACTTGAAGGCTGAGGATTACTCAGTCACCTTTAGAACTATAGGCATTACATGGCTTGTGTTTAGCAATCGCCCTGGGCTAGGAGACCCCTTGGTTCATGTATGGCAAATACACTGACATACAAAACCTGTTTCCAAACTGAGGTGAAGCTGTGATGCAAGGTTGAGGATTTCTAGGAAGCCAGGGACTATTCAACTGTATCTGAGTGATACATAACATGCCTTGAATACGTTTACTTACAAAAAAAGATGTCGAGCAGACATCCCCCAGTATTCGCTGCAGACTCTCAATTGTTACAATTCTCCTATCCTTACAGCTCTAGTTGAAAGTGTGGGTGGCTCTGAAAAGAGCCTTTGGGTTCAAGGTTGCCACTGGCCGAGGGCAGCTCACGCCCGCTCCCCGCGGATGCGGCGCGCCAGCTGGATGTCCTTGGGCATGATGGTGACGCGCTTGGCGTGGATGGCGCACAGGTTGGTGTCCTCGAACAGGCCCACCAGGTACGCCTCGCACGCCTCCTGCAGCGCCATGACGGCCGAGCTCTGGAAGCGCAGGTCCGTCTTGAAGTCCTGCGCGATCTCGCGCACCAGCCGCTGGAACGGCAGCTTGCGGATCAGCAGCTCGGTCGACTTCTGGTAGCGCCGGATCTCGCGCAGCGCCACCGTGCCGGGCCGGTAGCGGTGCGGCTTCTTCACGCCGCCCGTGGCCGGCGCGCTCTTCCGGGCCGCCTTGGTGGCCAGCTGCTTGCGCGGCGCCTTGCCGCCCGTCGACTTGCGAGCCGTCTGCTTGGTGCGAGCCATTCCCACAAACCAGAAGACAAGGAGAGTGGAAAAATGACAGAGCACAGCCTCCACCGATATATATAAGGCAAATCCAGCTCTTATTGGACCACGCAACTGTCAATCAAGGCTCATAGCGAAATACTGAAACAGAGGTTAACCTCTTAGTCGCTGGAACATCCAGTGATTTAAAAGAGAAAATTAACTTCTTCCTTCCACGCACCCTTTCAACAGCATATTTTTACCCTTTCACGCCTCTCCTGTGTCTATATACCGTTTCTTCATAGTATTTTGGCTTTTCCCCTCACAAGTAATTACAATTACATATCTTGTTTCCTTAATAAGAATTTTAAATTTGGCGCCTTAATCTGCTTTCCTGTATTTTGAAAAGACACCCTGGGAGACCGGGGGGGCGGGAGGGAACTACAACTTTCTTTTTAGCCTCATTCATTTAGGAATGCGAATTTAACATCAATTTCTTCATTTCCATGTTCAAACTTAGAGGGGTTTTTTTTTTTTTCCTGAACTTCCACGTTTCTAAATATCCTGTCACAATATACCTTTTCTAAGTGATCCAAGAACATTAACTGAAGTACTTTCATTTGCTATTGTAACTACATTAACATAAATTCTCATAAGAAGCACTATGCCTCACGCCATCAAACGAGGTTTGTGTAAAAGTGAAGTTAAAAAATACTCGTTTATAAATGATACAAAAAGGTTATTTCGTGCCCTTTTAAAAATACACTGAAAGCCTGTGGAGAAGCCCTGGCCAAAAGACACGACTCTGGGCATGTTTCCTGCTTTCTTTACAATCGTCTGGGGCCAAATGGAGCTGGAGAAAATGGGTCCCACTAGAGTGCAAGGCAAGTCGGCAGGAGGCTGAGCAGTGGCTCTGCTGCAGCTGCTCACTACAGGGTTTGCATGTAAACAACCATCTTAAAGCCTCTGTGCTTTTTATTTGGCTGCTAACTTTCCCTTTCATTGTACTTTTCAACTGGCTGGTTAATTTCGGGATTATGGGGTTATTTGTTAACAAGTGCAGTATCATTTTAAAGCAGCTCCTTGAAGGAAAAAATGCAAGCCCTTTTGGTGAGAAGGTGGGTGGCTCTGAAAAGAGCCTTTGGTTTCAAGTGCCGAGTGGCCGCCCCGCGCTGCAGGCTTTTACTTGCCCTTGGCCTTGTGGTGGCTCTCGGTCTTCTTGGGCAGCAGCACGGCCTGGATGTTGGGCAGGACGCCGCCCTGCGCGATGGTCACCTTGCCCAGCAGCTTGTTGAGCTCCTCGTCGTTGCGGATGGCCAGCTGCAGGTGGCGCGGGATGATGCGCGTCTTCTTGTTGTCGCGGGCCGCGTTGCCCGCCAGCTCCAGGATCTCGGCCGTCAGGTACTCCAGCACGGCCGCCAGGTACACGGGCGCGCCGGCCCCGACGCGCTCGGCGTAGTTGCCCTTGCGCAGCAGGCGGTGCACGCGCCCCACCGGGAACTGGAGGCCGGCCCGCGACGAGCGCGTCTTGGCCTTGGCGCGCGCCTTGCCGCCCTGCTTCCCGCGTCCAGACATGACTCGCTCAGGATGTCTACACTTAACAGATAACGCAGTGATCAATGCCGCAAATGGAACTTTTATGGTCGTTTTTGGGCGCGAAAATTGAGATCTTTTATTGGTCAATACTATAGCTTCAATTCAACAAATCACAATGCACGTTTCTGATTCCTCCGTTCTGATTGGAGAGAGGCAATTCTTATGACGTCACTGTGAATACTCACCAATCAGACAAAAGACTATAGTTTAGTACCTTATTTGCATACCGGGTTCTATATAAAAAGGACCTGTTGTAGTGTGCTCTGCTTTTCCTCTTTTACTTTCGCTTTACCCGTAATCATGCCCGAACCAGCCAAGTCCGCGCCCGCCCCGAAGAAGGGCTCCAAGAAGGCGGTGACCAAGGCGCAGAAGAAGGACGGCAAGAAGCGCAAGCGCAGCCGCAAGGAGAGCTACTCGGTGTACGTGTACAAGGTGCTGAAGCAGGTGCACCCGGACACGGGCATCTCGTCCAAGGCCATGGGCATCATGAACTCGTTCGTCAACGACATCTTCGAGCGCATCGCGGGCGAGGCGTCGCGCCTGGCGCACTACAACAAGCGCTCGACCATCACGTCGCGGGAGATCCAGACGGCCGTGCGCCTGCTGCTGCCCGGCGAGCTGGCCAAGCACGCCGTGTCCGAGGGCACCAAGGCCGTCACCAAGTACACCAGCTCCAAGTAGACCCGCAGGGAAGCCGCTTGGACTCCTGAACCCCAAAGGCTCTTTTCAGAGCCACTCACGTTTTCATGTAAAGAGTTGCGCACGGGCATAGCCTTAAGTGATCATCGGTGCCCACACCACCGATGGCGTCATAGACTTTGCGAGCGGTAGAGTCAGTCTCTTTCCACAGTGTTCCCGTATCACGGGGGTCTGAGGAGTGTAAGAGAGCACAAACCAGGGGGCTGTTTTTCTAATCCTTGGAGCTTGTTTTTAAACATTTGTAAAGGGGCTTTGAGGGACTGTAGGCTGCTTCACTGATGATTTGGTCTGTTTTCATTCAGCGTCATCCCTTAGCGCCTTTCCGGCGCGCAGCAACTTGGGAAAATCCTGCTCTATAAACGGGATGTCCTCTAGGTGTCGCTGCGGTTCTCCGCCCGCGTTCTCTTAGGCAGTCCAATTGCTTCCCTTCCGCCCTTTGCCCGAGGCCGTTAGAGTCCTGGCTGAGGGTTTTATCTAAGTGCCCTTGGCACCGAACCTCAAAGGGTCTTTTCATCAAGTGTTGAATGCGTTGCTCTTCCCTTAAACACCATGTGACACCCAGATTTAATGAGCCATCCTCCAGGGGAAAAAGGCAGCTATAGGGAAGCCAGTGTATGGACTCAGTAATATAGGCCTCTCTCCCTGCCTCAGGGACTTCCTGGAGCTCTGTGTTTTCTGTGGTAAACGGGCCGCAGGTGTGCACACAAGAGTTCGTTTGCAGTCACTCCTAGTCAAGGCTTGCCGGTCTGGAAGGGGGGAATGACGAGGGAGCTCTCCTTCCTGTCTCACCTCCTGCTGCAAGGCTCAGATCCCTACCCAGCTGCGGCCTTGCCCCCCAGTCGGGATCTGCACTTCCAGCATCAGCTCGAGAAGCGCCCCTCTCCCGAGTTCTGAGCCTTACCTCTTCCAGGCTCCCCTCAATTTCTAGGGTGTGATCACGTTTGTGTGCGTGTGCGCGTGTGCTCTGAACCCTGCTTCCTCCGGTGACTCCGGAACAACAGCTCTACTTTTGCCTTTCAACATTCCAACACCCACATAACGTTTATTAAATTATCTTTGTAAAACTAACCAGTAGTGTCTTCTGGGTTTTTTGTTTGTTTCCGCATGGACGCTGGGGCGCCAAGCGTCCCTTGATCGAAAAAGGTATGTCTGCTGCTTAAAGAGCCAGCTTACGGGGCCTCAACTTCGTGCACCTTGATGACCATATGGGCCCTTTTGCTTGCTCTCCAGGAAGGCGCAGCCTCAGGAGCGTTTGCCATCGTCAGCTTCCCAGGGAGGTAGAGCGTTTATTCCAGCAGAGCAAAGTGCAGGCTGCAGGCGCCTGCGGCTCAGTCTCCCAGCCTAACCAAGCCCTCCTTTTTGGCTGATCCGCAACACACGAAAGAGGAATTGGGATTCACCAAGGAAAAAGGAGTAGCCTCGTGGTAGGGAGAGGAGAAAATCTCTGCAAGGCTACTTCCTAAAGTGTTAACAAATATATAGATTTCCATAAAAGTGATTTTGAATTCTATGTCGACACCTTTGAAAGATCATAGCATCAGAAGACATCGGCTGGAATTTGAGTTCTGCCAGCTGAGCACACGTGGTTCTCACACTCTCTGTCTCTTATTTACAAAATGAGAATGTTACTAAAATCAACTTTTTTGGATAGTTTTGTTAATACACGGATAGTAATTACAATAAATATAAGTACTTTAGGGATATGTAGAATTCCTGAAGTTGTTTATGGACATCTCATCATTACTCCTATACATTAGCAATCATTGAGGCCAGCTTTTTAAAGTAGCAGTATAATCACAAGTAATAATAATAATGCAGCGGGTAAATGCTTATCCGTCACATTAGACTTTCTGTTGTTATAGTCAGACATTGCAGACACTAGCAAAAAAGAGGTAATGTAAATTGCAACTGTTAAAATTAAAGCAGTTACGAAATTATGTGGGCCTGAAACATTTAGAAATAATTTACTGGCACCTACAGTGATTTTGATCATATTTACACATTTAAATTTAAATATATAGTTATGATATTTAAAACATCACTGAATACATTAGGTAATAGTTCTTCATTACATGTAAGTGCATTAGTTTTCTCTTGCTGGCCGAATAAGTTACGAACGCGGTGAAACACACCCTCGGAAATTTTCAGGACTTTGATCAGCATTTGAACAAGCATCGCACTGAGGTCCAGTCCAGGTGTCAGTAGGCTGCGTCCCTCTCTGGGGCTCTGACGGGCAATCGGCTCGCTCACCACTCCCAGCTCTGGGAGGCCACCCGCCCTCCGTAGCTCAAGGCCCCTGGCTTGGGTTTTGAAAGCCAACAGTCTCTGGCCCAAGCATCCCCGCTCGTTCTGTGTTCTGATCCCGTCTTTCACTGTGAGGGCCTTTCTGATTACATTGGCTTCACTTGGGTAATCTCCCTATTTTAAATCCAAGTGATTACCCACTTTGATTTCAGCTGCAATTTAATTGCCTTTGTAATGCAATCTAACATAGCACAGATTTAGTTCAGAGGTTAGTAGGTAGACTAATTGGGGCGACATTATTCTGCCTAGCACACGAGATATAGTATATTTAGAGTCTGAAAGAGAGGCACATGCAGTTCTCTCCCCGCTGAGGGAAGGGGGGAGAGGCACATGCTGGTGAGTTGTCCTAGATGTCAGAGGGCGCCCAGCTAGACCGGTTTAAGAGTTTCCTTAGGGGACCAAGGAAGGCAAAAACTGTTTTTAATAACTCTCATAGACTACAGCTATTTTTCTATTTTTTATTTTTACATTTTTTTTGCTTCTGTACTTTTGTTTGAATGTTTATATACTCATTGCTTATGTTGTTTCCACATGTGCACATATATGTGCTGTGTAAAGTGGGAAATTAAAGAAAAAAATACAAGAATATATGGAATAGTATGACTGTTTTCAAACCTGATTTGAAACCCTAAGAGTATGTTGTAGGTACATTTGTTCCCTTTATTCCACATGGGATTCCATACATGGCAACTTACAACCTTAAGTTTGTAATCATAAATACTAAGTGTAAATTTTCATTACATTTGTCTACAGAGGGCAGGAGGGTGGGGGGGTAACAACTAACAAAACATTTTTTCCATTTAAAAAGTAAAATGTTTGCTGACTAAGATAAAAATACACTGACATAAATTCAACCCTATAAAAAATTAACATAACTTAAAGGAAAGACACAAAGGGTCACTACTTCCTGCACTTTCCATACCACAGGCTGTAACATGATATACACCTACATACGCAGCCTTCGAAAAGACATGGGAATTTTTTCATTAAAATTAAGGGGCTCTATCCTGGAACCTTCAAGTGCCTTCCCAACTGTAATGCACATTAACTGTCCAGCTCCCATTCTGTTTAGAAATTACTTTGCTTTAAGCAAATACACCCACTAGACATGTGCAAGGCCGTTACAATTGAAGTGGAATTAGAAAACCCTCTCTTACCACTAAGGGGTATTATTAGAAAACTGAAGTTCTCTTCCCTTTTCTTGGAACAATGTAAGGCGCAGGACATCACAGCAGTAGAAACAGCACGGCACCACCGTAGCCAGCTTTGCAGCGGAATGAGGGATGAAGCAAGAAACTAGCCTAGGACCAGGACACCTATGTCTCTGTCAACCAACGTCTGTGCTCAAGGTGCTGCTCCCGGACAGCAGCAGAACACTTCCAGCATAAACCAAGCAGCCCCAGGAAGTGAAGTCCTTACAACTCTTACTCTGGAAAAGTGGGTGGCTCTGAAAAGAGCCTTTGGGTTTGCAGAGGCTGAAGCGCATCACTTGGAGCTGGTGTACTTGGTGACGGCCTTGGTGCCCTCGGACACGGCGTGCTTGGCCAGCTCGCCGGGCAGCAGCAGGCGCACGGCCGTCTGGATCTCCCGCGACGTGATGGTCGAGCGCTTGTTGTAGTGCGCCAGGCGCGACGCCTCGCCCGCGATGCGCTCGAAGATGTCGTTGACGAACGAGTTCATGATGCCCATGGCCTTGGACGAGATGCCCGTGTCCGGGTGCACCTGCTTCAGCACCTTGTACACGTACACCGAGTAGCTCTCCTTGCGGCTGCGCTTGCGCTTCTTGCCGTCCTTCTTCTGCGCCTTGGTCACCGCCTTCTTGGAGCCCTTCTTCGGGGCGGGCGCGGACTTGGCCGGTTCAGGCATCTCAGTTGAAAAAGGAAACAAAGAGAGGAGAAAAAAGGAAGTTGTAAAATGTCCGCCGAGGTCTACAGTGTCTTCTTTTATAGAGGCTTTATGCAAATAAGGTACTAAAGAATTTCCAGATCTGATTTGATAATGTGTCAGTGACGAGCATATGTAAATTTAATTGCATCACATCATCTTTCTTATTGGTTGAAGATGTCACACCTGATTTTTAACCAATCCTATCTCGCGTTTAGCAATTCCACCCAGCACTATAACTGGCGTCCTGTTGCTCCCGCCAGTACACTTCTTTTATTGTTTTTTCTGCGGCTCTTCTCCTTGTGCTACGAGTTAGCATGTCTGGACGCGGGAAGCAGGGCGGCAAGGCGCGCGCCAAGGCCAAGACGCGCTCGTCGCGGGCCGGACTCCAGTTCCCGGTGGGGCGCGTGCACCGCCTGCTGCGCAAGGGCAACTACGCCGAGCGCGTCGGGGCCGGCGCGCCCGTGTACCTGGCGGCCGTGCTGGAGTACCTGACGGCCGAGATCCTGGAGCTGGCGGGCAACGCGGCCCGCGACAACAAGAAGACGCGCATCATCCCGCGCCACCTGCAGCTGGCCATCCGCAACGACGAGGAGCTCAACAAGCTGCTGGGCAAGGTGACCATCGCGCAGGGCGGCGTCCTGCCCAACATCCAGGCCGTGCTGCTGCCCAAGAAGACCGAGAGCCACCACAAGGCCAAGGGCAAGTAAAAGCCTGCAGCGCGGGGCGGCCACTCGGCACTTGAAACCAAAGGCTCTTTTCAGAGCCACCCACCTTCTCACCAAAAGGGCTTGCATAACCGTCGCCGTCATTTCTCCACCTACAAGTAGGTGGCGGTATGAAAACCCCCAGGACCTGCAAGTACCCACTTGAAATCTGCAATAAAAAAGAACTTGCTGCAGCCCCGTAAAACAGGCACACAGATACTTTGTATCCTGTAATGAAGGGGGTCGAGCAGCAGCCCTCAGGCTTGGAAGTGAAGCGCTTAGCGCTCTCAGTCCCCGGTAGGGAAATAGCACCACCCACTTCCCTTGAAAAGCCAAAATGCTGTTATCTGCGTGTGTCCTTTTTTTCAATTCTAGGGTTTTACGTGTTATCACAAAGAGTCAGTTCAGTCAGCGTTGTAAGCCGTTGCTCACACTTTATACACCAAGAAATTCCAAAAACTGATGAAACGGGCCTTCTGGCCCCTCCTTTACTGAGGGTAGATGCAGCTCTAGGCCAGAAGTTCTGACTTGTGGCCACGTGGGAGACATCAGGGAGGAACTGAGACCACGCCTCAGCGTGTTCAAATTGTTTTGTGAGTATGTGCACTGTAGACGCGCGCGCGCGCGCGCACGCACACACACACACACACACACACACACACACATAATCATATGCACCCTGTATATTCAAGGAAACCTGCTCTCAGGAAGCCTAAAATATGAATAAAAGAAATAACAGAACTGAGGAGAAAGGAGTGATAACTGACCAATTGCATGTGTGGGTGGCCTTTTAAATGTTGCTGATGGTGCTTCGATGACGATTTTTTAGTTTGTGTCTTTTCAGAAAACAAGAAATGAAGTGCACAGAAACCAACACTAAATGAAACCTCGTATTTATGGACTTACTTTAAAGTGGTGTATAAACTAAAAAAAAAAAAAAAGTGTATTTTATTTCAACTGTTAGTGGAAATCTAATCGTATTTCTCCAGAAAGCAAACAAAAGCAAGCGGGTCACAGTGTGGGACCTACGAACCAGACCGATCTGCTCTTAGCGCATAAGCTCATAAGCCAGCTTTTCTCTGTGGCCTCCTGGCTTAGGCCACGGCAGCTGTTAGCCCTGAACAGAAGGCCGTGCACAAAATCATAAGTAATGAGCAGCCTTATACACTTACGTAATGCAAAAGCGATGTCCTTGTAATCAGTGGATTCCACGTGGTGGAAATTAAGTGAAAGGAGCCTTTTAAGGAGCACCTAACTCACCAGCTAGGCCTTCGTAGCCTATAAAGCAAACACAGACCTGACTTACTTCACATAGAGAAACTGGTCTTCCTGCCGTTACCAAAAGACAATTAACAAAATGTAAAATTCAAAGTAATGTACCAAGCCTCAAAAATCTTGTAAATATTTCTAATATATAATTTCTTGTTACGGGAACCATCAGAAAGATAAGCTTAGCTCAGAAGAGCATAGGAGATCATCAAGACTTTATCTACAGGAACATGAAGGAAAACAGGTCAGCCACTCCAAAATACGCATCTTTGACATAAAAAAAAAAATATTTCGAGCAGAAAGCAGTGAAGAAGATGAAGTTGCAGAAGAGGCTCTCTCTTCCCTCTCCTCTTCTGCTTTAAGTCAGAATATAAATTCCAGGAACCACCGAGCCTTCCCAGTGACCCTCATGCGGCCCACAGGTACAGGAGGAACCGGCAAACAGAGCTGAGTCGCGCCCTGCTCCTGGGTACTCTACCTTCCCAGTTGCCACGCCTCGAAGCCTAAAACTGCTGCTTCGTTTGTCCTGCTATCTCTCTATGAACCGGCTTTACTTGGTTGAAGATGGTGTACACACTGAAGCTTAGGTCCCGGCCAGAGAGCTCAGCTGGTTAGAGCGTCCTCCACAGGCCAAGCTGGTGAGGGCACACACAAGAATCCAGCGAAGAATACACAAATAAGTGGAAAAACAAGCTGATCTCTCTCTCTTTCACTCTAATTAATCAATAAAATAAACTGAAGAGCTAAGCCCGCTCTATGAATTACTCTTTCCCAGGTCTCTCCCATGTATATGAAATATACCTGTTAATAAACTTTCTTTTTTTTTTCTCTTGCTGAGTGTTACATGTTCACAGTCCCCAAGTCAAGAACCAACATGGATAGAATTTTCCACCCCTACAAAAGAAAGAAGATTGACATAAAATCAAGAGAGTAAATTTAGATTAAAAAGTGTTATTGTTCCATGACATGGTTGTAGCATAATCTTTAGATTGTGTTTTGTGCTGTTTGATAGGACCACCATCTCAAGGTGGGGGTGGTTCTTACTAAATGCCATTCTTGCTGAATGTTAAAATGGTGCACACATTTTGCAGACCTGGCTGTATAGGGAGGCGCTTGACCGGAACCCAACTGGCTAGGTGTAGCCAATGGAAAGAAGAAATCAACACGTAATGACCCAGATAGTGTATATAAGCTGTGACGAAGCTTCTCTTCAGGGACGCAGAGCTCTGGAAGCAAATCCCTGTGCTCTTCAAGTGCAGCCAGTGAGTACAATGGCCTTGTGACAGTCATGTCTTGTTCTTGAATAAACAAAGTGGCGAACCCCCGGGATAGAGATCATTTCATCTCTTATGGGCGCAAATCATAACGTTCTCAAGTATCCTACAAATTAACATCTAAATTCACAGAGAGTGCGCTCTACAAAAGAGAGAAACCGAAGCACACCCCTCAAGCACACTGAAAAAACCCTCGGGCAGGCCTTTCCGGCTACCATTTCATATAACAATGAAAGGATATTCACTGACCCCTTTACCTGCATTCAATATTCAGATACTTCTTAGCAGGCTTCGGAGCTGCCCCGCAGTGACCAGCGGTTTCTCCTGGTGCTCAGGGAGCCTGAGCCTGCTGGGGAGCCGGCTTTCGGGTCTAAATGTTCTGCCTTCCTGGGTGGGGTTTACCAGTGCTGATCTGCGAGGCTTTGAGGGAAAGGCGCTCGGGGCCCCAGGCGGGAAGAGGAAGGGGAGAGGACCAGCAAGGCTCCTTAGACCCTCCACCTCCAGGCAAGTCAAAGTCACCTGAAGTCTCCCACTCTCCTACTTTCAGAAGGTAAAATCATGATTCACTAACTAAATAGAAAATGAACACATCTCGAAGAGTTTATTTCACTCATCAACAGGGTAATTCTATGATAGATTCAAAAAACATTTAACAAATGAGGGTATTTATAGGAAATTTAACTAAGAAATGTTAGAATAGTATTATTGAATTAGATAAAACAAAATTAATGTCCATAAGGTTATAAATCTTTGGAGCTATATCTATTGACTGGACAGAAGTTATTTGTATCTCTACCAAATAAAACCCAGTAAGTTAACAAGTAACCTCACTAAGTTTGGTACCTTTAATCAATAGTCAAGAGTGAGATGATCAAAGTTCATTTTCATAGGATCCTTGTGTGGCCTTTACCTTTTATGATATTGGACAACTTGGCTTATCTTTTTCCTTACTTTCAAGTTTCAGACAATTTTCTTACCGTGTGAAACCTTGCTTGGAAAAACAAAACAAAAAAACAAAAACAGAGCTTGCAAGAAAAAAATCTCTATAAAACTTTACCATATAAATCCTTGACGCTCTTATCTCACTCATTAACCAGATAATAGAAAATTTAACTTTTTATTCTTTCCAGACTCCAATGTAGCTGACGTGATTTTGTCTCTGTCTCTCTTTTTCTTCACCTACCTTCCATAAATGATCAATTGTTTCCTGCACTTCCTTCTTTTTATGAAATGCTTTGGTACTTTCCCTAAATAATCCCTTCTTTTTCACACTTCTGGAATGCACATTCTGTTGTACAGAAGCTTAAGCTCCTTTGGATAATAATTCCTTCAATAATCAGTTTTTACTGCTTACTCTCAAAAAACAAGTGCTTGGGGAAAAAATTATTGGGAAAAAATTATTAGCCATGGATGTTTCAGGTGGCCTCCACCTCCTCCTATCCTGCCTGCGAAGAGCTCTGAGGCCGGCAGTTTCTCCGGCATCCATCTTTTCTTGCAGAACGCGCCGGCCCAAAATGTGCCCCTTTGGCGTGTGGGCTATTTTGAGCTAAAGTCAATCGAGATCCAACAGAACCAATAAAAGTTTTTGCCTCTCCTTCATCCACCTGGAGGAGTTTAAATGAGGGGCCTGTCGCGGAAGGAGAACTTTTGTGACAGGTAGTTTTTATCTGCACGACCTAGGACCGAGCGAAGCGCCGATTACCAAACTCCTGCTGCGCCCCAACCCTGACACTCTGGGCCGGCGGGCTGTTCCTCCGCGCAGGGCTCTCACCAGGCCTCACGCGCCCCGCGGCCCTTGGGGCCCGGGCTTTTATGAGGTTTCTGTTGTGCAAAATTAGCTTTTCTTCTCTTCACCTGCCTTATGTCCATTTGATTATGAGAGCAGCTCAATAATCCGGAAAGAGAGGAAAAAGTTTGCCCTCCCCTACGCCTTGATGAGTCATGTTTTATCTGACAAGCCTTCTTTTGTTTGCTGAAATAACTTTAGTTTTTCAAAGAGTGCTTCCCAGTAGTTTGAGGCCAGTCTCTGTAACTGGGTTTCTTAGAAACACGGTGTCTGCCTGTCCACTGTATTCCAAAGGCCGTGACAGCAAGCTTGGCCGGAGATCAGGAAACAGAGAGGGGAAGGAAGGTCTGGGGCTAGAGAGCGTTGCGAGCCCCAGGCGTGATTCCAGATTCTCCGTAACCGCCTTTTGAGAAGTAAAAGGGCGCAATTATTTTAATAATAAGTTGTATTCAGCCCTGGCGGGGGGCTCAGTTGGTTGGAGCATCGTCCCATGCACAGAAAGGCTGCAGGTTTGCTCCCCAGTGGGGGCGCGCGAGAGGCAGCCAGGCACTGATCTTTCTCTCCCTCTCTTCCTACTTCCCTACCCCCCTCTCTAAAAACAAATAAATAAAACCTTTAAAAATAAAGATAAAATAAAAGTTTAAAAGCATAGAAAATTTAAGTTTTGGTTCCTCAACTTCAGCCGCATTTCGAAGGCTCCCAAGCGGG